GTACACTTCCCAAAAATGTCATCTGTTTCAGAAAGAAGCTATATATGCTAGTTGTCAAAGATAGAAAAGTGCGCGTACACTTTCCAAAAATGTCATCTGTTTCAGAAAGAAGCTTCTCACAAAATCTGCTTGTGTATATGTTTTCGATGACTTATTTTCATGTCCTTGTTTTTTCAGGTTACATTCTTTACCATTTCATCCTTCACAAAGAGACATAGTAAAGCGCAACCCACATAAAAAGGAGTGGTGGATTGGTGCCGGTCCTTCTGGACCTTTTATTTATACACCTTTCACCAAGGGGGGCACATCTGGGACTAGCAAACAAGAGATAAATTGGATTGTTGGAGAACCAGTCCAAGTTATGATAGAGTTAGCAAACCCCTGCAGCTTTGACTTAGTTGTTGAGAGCATTTACCTCTCTGTTCATTCAGGAAATTTTGATGCCTTTCCGGTTACTGTTAATCTTCCACCAAATACCTCCAAATTGGTTCTGCTATCTGGAATTCCAACAAAGGTTGGACAAGTATCGATTCCTGGATGCATTGTCCACAGTTTTGGTGTTATTACAGAACACCTATTCAAAGAGGTTGACAGTTTGCTCCTTGGAGCTGCACAAGGGCTTGTTCTTTCTGATCCTTTCAGATGCTGTGGCTCTAGCAAGTTTAAGAGTGTTAACTTCCCCAGCATTTCTATTGTTCCTCCCCTTCCTTTATTAGTTGCCAACGTTGTGGGTGGAGATGGTTCTATTCTTCTATATGAAGGTGAAATTCGTGATGTTTTAATTACGCTGACAAATGCTGGAACTGTGCCAGTTGAAGAAGCAAATATTGCATTATCCGGGAAGAACCAGGATTCTGTTATTTCAATTGCCCATAGTACATGGAAGTCTGCACTTCCGATAAAACCAGGTGGAGAAGTTACATTTAAAGTGACACTAAGAGCCTGGCATCTTAGCTTGGCAGATTTGGAAGCAGATGGTAGCAGATCTCCTGCAAATCCAAGGAGAATAGCAAGAGAAGGAATCAATCCCTTTTTGAATATTCACTATGCTGGTGGGTTGCAGGATTCTAAATCTTCTATATTCTCTGTCATCCTTTAATATGTGTGAAGTCAAAGTTACTCAAATGAACATCTTGCCACTCCAGTGCACTCATACTACTTTATATACCATCAGAACACATAAATCGTCCTCACCAAATGACTAAGGCATGATATAAACAAGTAAATCCATGTAATTGCTAGTTTCCCTCTGTCACTTGTTATGGGCGAACAACCTTGATTTGATGTTTTCTTTGTAGTGCTTGCTTCCTTAAATTAGTAATCATGTTTACCATTGACCTACTACTTTACTACTGTGAACATATACAGATGGCATGTGGAGAAGATTTGTCTTTGTGACCTGTTGTAGATATCCTCATAACTTTTGTTTCATGGTTTCGTTTGAGACTAAATTTCTACTTTCTGTTACTCCAGGTCCTTCAGCGGCCAAAGGTAATGGTGAGGTTTCTCTCCCACCTGGAAGACGCCTTGCTGTTCCATTAAATATCTGTGTTGTACAGGGCATGTGCCTGGTAAGAGCACGCCTGTTATCCATGGAAATACCTGCCCGGTTTAGTGAAGCACACTTGCGACCTGTCAGTGGAAAAGATAATACAAGTGATGAAAGTAATATGTTGCATAATGACATTAGCTTATTGAAGATTGATCCCTATAAAGGAAGTTGGGGCCTCCGCCTTCTGGAACTCGAGCTTTTCAACCCTACGGATGTTGTTTTTGATGTCGATGTTTCTGTACATTTGGATGGGACTAGTGTTCCAGAAGATAACACTGCTGATGTGGCCTGTCACAAAACCAGAATTGACCGTGACTATTCTGCCAGGGTTCTTATACCACTTGAGCACTTCAAATTACCTGTTCTTGATGCTTCCTTCTTTGTAAAGGAAAACGGAAGCGATGAGCAACTTGGGTCCCAAGCTGCCACCATAGCAGAAAAGAATGCCAAGGCAGAGTTGAACGCTTCTATCAGCAACTTGATTTCAAAAATAAAAGTGAGGTGGCATTCTGGGAGAAATAGCTCCGGTGAGCTGAATATCAAAGATGCTATTCAGGCAGCATTACAAGCGTCTATATTGGACATATTGTTGCCTGATCCCTTGACATTTAGCTTTAGACTTGCTAAGGATGCCAAGCCTGCTAATGATTCCAACCATTCTACTGATGAGAATGTTGGTCCGTCTGGCGGTGAGAATGTTCTGAGGTGTAAAGATCCTATATCAGCTCATAAAATGACCCATATGGAAGTTCAAATTCGGAACAACACGAAGGAAATTATTCAGATGAACCTCAGCATTTCATGCAAAGATGTTGCAGGAGAAAATTGCTTCGAAGAAAACAGTGCAACCGTCCTCTGGGCTGGTAATTCACTTATTTGTATAATAGCCCATTTTCTTTCTTTACCATTATCTGTGTTCAGGAATAGTATTGTTTTTACATTATTCAGCATCTGTTCTACACTGACAAGTTCCTTTTTCTGTGTAGGTGTTCTTAACGACATACAGTTGGAGGTTCCACCATTGCAGGAGGTGGTACATCCTTTCTCTGTCTACTTCCTAGTCCCTGGAGACTACTCGCTGCAATCTTCTTCTGTTATAATTGACGCCACGGATGTTCTTCGTGCTCGGGCAAAGGCAGAGTCCCCAGATGAACCTATTCTATGCCGCGGATCCCCATTCCATATCCATGTAGTTGGTACAGAGTAGCAAACACTGTTTTGGTGTAGTTTAGAGGCAGCGATTTCACCATGACATGTGCAGCTGTGAAAATCATGTACAAGAGCATTATTCCCCTGTACACTTGTGATTTATTTGAGCTACTTGGAGGCTTCCTTTGTAATACAATTGTGTTTGTGTACAGTGTAAAAGCATCCGCCGAGATTAATACGGTGAACTTACACATGCCCTTAGCTGCCCTGTAGCCTGTAGGCTCTTTGATTCAACGAATTTTTATTTTGTTTGGGAGGATTATAATTCTCAGAATTTTGCTACATGGGTGTTGTATGATTCGCAGGATTGCAATCTATAAGGACTTTTGTACGGGATTTATTTGCACTCATAGGAAAAGTTTTATCCACCTAAAAATGCTGGATTCTAAAAAAAACAATAATAGGAAAAACACATGATTAGGATGACATGTCACACTGATCCTATAGGAACTGAAAACATGAGAATCTGTAATAGAAGTTGTTTGGTTGCACCACATTTAAAGTGCAGGAACTTTTATTTTTATATAAGATAAGATTAGATGCATGTCATAGTTGTCAGGGAGAGGAAAATTTCCATGTAGTTGGACCTAAAATTTTCCTTTGGGATTGCAAGCAAAGAAGACCATTAGAATAATTCCTATGGTTTATATTCCTACAAACCACAAGCTCTATAGGAAAAATTCCTAAGGAACATAATCCTCTAAAGATCTCTTTGGATAGCAGGAACTTTAAAATACATGAATAGGAAAGCGTAAGATTTAGATGTCACATATCATGAAATCCTATAGTATTAGAGAACACATAAGAGGTTTGTGTGGTTCAAATGAATTTTATAGGAATTTTGCGGGTTGTATTCCCTGGAAGTTTTTCTTGGTGTAGCATGTTTGGTTTGTAGGAACAAAAACCATAAGATTTTTTTGTATGGCCTACTTTGTATGCAATTTCATTGGGAACTTTTTATTGGGTTCGAGCTCATGCAAAATTTCCACTGTTTCAATGCCAACTATGATATACACCTAATCCTTCAGGAAAATTTCCCCTTTTTGTGGTGCAATAAAACATCTACAATAAACCCATGTGTTGTTAGTTCCTTTAGGATTCAACATGACATGACATCCAATTCCCATGTTTTTCCTATTCCAGCGAACCAAAGAGGCCCTAAAATGAGGTTTGGAATCGTGTTAAATTCCTATGGAACGTGGAGCACATAAATGGATTTCATGGAATTTGGTGACCCCAACCCTATGAACCCAAGGGCTTCCACATTTTTTTTTTCAATAAGAGCACTTAACGGCTTCCTTTAGTTCATAGGAATATAAAAACTATAAAAAGTGAGATGACATGTATCTTAGATCCTATGATTACGAACAAGAAAAGAGATTTCATTTGGTTCACACGCTAGGATTTTCTCCATCGAGTCCAAGTTAATTTCTTTTCTCTGAAATATGAAATATGTGAATCAATTTTGTATACAAATATTATTGTATATCAGCAAACGAAAAGGGTTCTAGAAGGGAACTTCCTACAGAAGTCCTATCCTGTAAAATTCCTACGAAATTTCAGTAAATTAAAGGAGGCCTAACCTTTTTTAATAATTTTTCTTCAATTCAAAGAGAACCTAAGATTCCTATGAATTTCCTATTAACTAAACAGATAAGGTGGGGCTTATTTATTCAAAGGATTTCATAAGAACCATTGGCTATGGCTCACATGTAGATTTGTTTTCCGCTTTCTGTTGAAGCCCCTTAGTGAATCTATATCCTTCCTTCCCGACATTTTCAGTTAGTAAATCTATGTCGTTTGTCTTCCCTTCTTTGATCAACAAACACACATGAATAGGAAAATACATGATTCCAGTGGCATGTCCAATCAGATCATACCGGATTTTGCACCAAAGTGTGTTTGATCGCACTACAAACAAAATGAAATGTGTTTTGAAAGAGGAGTTGATGGGAATTTTCTAATGAAATGTAACAGATTTCTGAGAAAAAAACATTCCTATAGGATTCAATTCTATGAATCATACAACCAATGTAGGGAAAAAATCCTAAGAATTTTTATCCTCCAAAAGTTCTTATAAATCCTTTAAACCAATTCCTTTTTGAAGTTGCCTCAGGCACGTACTTGAGAAGTCCGTAAACTGGGCAGGGAAGCGTATAGCTGGTTTAGAAATCAGTTCCTCACTCTCTCGGTCTCTCCTAGCTTCCCGCACGAAACCACCGTAAAACCCCCACCACAAATGCTCCTCCGGGCGGCGGCCGCCGCCGCCCACCGCCTCCGCTTCATTTCCCCGGCCCGCCGCATATCTTCCTTGAAGGTCCCGTGGCGCCGGGACGCGGTCCTGGACGCGTCCATCGACCGCGACCGACGCTTCCACCAAGCGTCCCGCCTCGTCCGCGAGGTGCTCCTCTCCCCCGGCCGCCGCCTCCTCCTCCGCTACCTTTCCAAGCGCCGCCAGCGCATCCGCCTCCCGGTCCACGTCGCAACCTTCCTCCGCCGGTACCCCACGCTCCTCTCCGTTTCCCCTCCCCCCGACCCCGTCGCCTCCCCGTCCCCGCAGCTCGCCTCCTTCCTCGAATTCGCATCCCGCCTCCAGGCCGCCCACTCCCCGCTCCTCGCCGCCAGGCTCGCCAAGCTCCTCATGATGTCCTCCACGCGCGCGCTGCCGGTCGCAAAGATTGCTGCTGCCAAGCGCGTCTTCGGCCTCCCGGACGACTTCTTGGTCTCGCTGGTCCCGAGGCACCCCGATCTCTTCCGCCTCGTCGGCGACCCAGGGCCGGACGCGTCCGGCGACGCGTTCCTGGAGCTCGCCTCCTGGGACGACCGACTCGCGAAGTCCGCGATTGAATTGAGGGCGGACAGGGAGGCCGATGTTGTTGGCATACGGCCGAGGCCCAACTTTACAGTCAAATTGCCAAAGGGGTTCTACCTCAAGAAGGAGATGAGGGAGTGGGTGAGGGATTGGCTTGAGCTGCCGTATGTGTCACCATATGCCAACACTTTCGGGCTTCACCCGGCATCACCAGAGGCAGAGAAGAGGTTGATTGGTGTTTTACATGAGGTATTGTCCTTGTCAGTTGAAAGGAGGATGGCGGTGCCAATCATAGGGAAGTTCTGTGATGAGTTTAGGCTATCGAATGCGTTCTCTAACGCGTTCACGAGACACCCGGGGATATTCTATGTTTCATTGAAGGGTGGCATTAAGACGGTGATATTGAGGGAGGCGTATGACGAAAATGGAGAGCTTGTGGATAGGGATCCTATGATTGAGCTGAAGGAGAGGTTCGTGGCAATCATGGATGAGGGCCATAAGAAGTATTTGGAGGAGTTGAGGAGGAGGAATGAGATGCTGCAGAAAGAGAGGGCAAATGCAATTCACAGGGGTGCCAAAGTTGACACAAATATTGAGGAAAGAGATATGGAGGGGTCAGAGGAAGATGAAGTATATGATTATGCACAAGTAGAATCAGAAGGAAGAGAGCCATTGTGAGTGGTGGTTGTGATGTTCATTATGCTTCTATGATAATGGGACCTAAAGAACAGTGGCAAGGAGATTGGATGTTTTGACAGATTCGAATGTGATCATTAGGCAGCCAGTAAGAAGATGGCTTAGTTAGCAGGTAATAAATAATACGAGGTTAATCTTCAACCACTTTGTTTTTCAAATGATGCTGAAATGTAGGTTTATCTTCCTTTTTGGAAAGAGTTCTGTGGTGACAGGGTTTTCAATGATTTACCACTTAAGTCTTCAGTCAGTAGTTTTCAGGAGATCCATTTTTGTGACAGATTAAGTCACCTTTGGACTGGGAGGACACTGATGGCTTCTGTTTTGGAACCATAGGAACATTCTGATCCAAGTATATTCTTTGTAAGCCGACAACTGATAACTTTCCTTTTTGTTGCTCTATAACAAACTTTCATCATGCCGTGCTTTAGATAATTGGACATATTTATAGTTAAAGATCTGAGGACTGGATATGTTTGTGCTCTATAGGGCACATATGACACAATACAATGCAAATTTTCCTTGGGATGAAAGTGCTGTCATGCTCCATTAGATGATCACTGTTTCCTCCGATCCAAATTGTAGGTATTTTAGTGTTAGCCAGAAGAACTAAGGATGTAGGTGAATGCCAATGTTACCCTTCATTTATATCTATAATTCCCTTTTTCCTCCCAAATATATTCATGCTAGAGATATAGGTTCAATTCTTGGTGCAATTTATGAGGGATTAAGTTGGAACCACATGAGCAAAAGTGGCACTGGGATCGTACAAAGACTTAAGTTTTGAATCAAGTTCGAAAGGCCAAAAGGAAGGAAGTAGATGGTGTAAGCATATTCAGGTGTTATTTTATAGAGTAAGTATTGGCACATTTGACAAAATTCAAGCCCATAGTGGAAGTTCGTGTGGTTAAACCAAATGTGACTAGAGGGCAGTATAAACTATTGTCTTGCAAGATAGTAAATGACTTATGTTCATAGTCAGATTGATCAAACTCCAGACATGATAGTTATGTTAAATATTACCAATTGGTTTGCACACGTGACAAATTAGATGACATATATCACACATTTTAATTTCTCGAGTGGGACTATATTTTCTGCCCTCAAGGGCTCAAGACCATAGACTTTTTTAGCTCCATCTGGATTATGCAAGTAGCCCGATGCTTGCACATTACCTGAAGACAACTTGGCAGATGTGACACTAGGGCAGTATAAAGTATTGTCTTGCAAGATAGTAAATGACTTATGTTCAGAGTCAGATTGAACAAACTCTACACATGATAGTTTTGTTAATATTTCCAATGGTTTGTTCACATGACAAATTAGATGATATATATCACACATTTGAATTTCTCGTGTGGGCCTGTATTTTCTGCCCTAAAAGGCTCAAGACCACAGACCTTTGTAGCTCCATCTGGATTATGCAAGTAGCCCTATGCTTGCACATTACCTGAAGTCAAACTTGGCAAATAGCTTTGCTTGAGTCAAAACATGTTAATGTTGTAATGTAAGCTTATCTCAGCTTTCGATTGATCAATCTGGCTCCGTTTTGGTGTGCATCTTTTAATTGTAAACATAAGCTTACAATTGGTCTCGTTTCATTTCTTACTTCCCAGTAGATATCTCCTCCAAGTTTATGCCAGGCTTGTTGGGTGTCTCCTGAGGCCATCTCCGTGAGAAGCACTTTTAAATCGTTACGTGTAACCACCTGGACCATACAGCTTGAGCAGGCTAGCTAAGTTTTTGTTACTGGATGAGCATCTCTTTCATCCCAGGCACTTGGGCCCCACAGTGTTCTGGCCCAGCTTCTCAGCAAGATAGGCAGCCTTCAGCCGGTGGAAACTCACTTTTATCTTGCTTTCATGTTTGCTCCCCCCCCCCTCCCCCTGGCCGCCGTTTCAAGGCGCCGCCATCCACCACCACTTCCAGCGTCCTCACCACCTCCACCGATGTCCTCACCACCACCACCTCCGACGTCTTCACCACCTGCTCCCCTCGGCCCTCGTGCCATCG